AGTGACATGAGGAGGGCTTCAAAGCCGTGGACCAATAAGGTAACCAGGTCTCTGTAGTCATTGTATATGTGACGCCTGTGAGAGAAGAAAGGAGAGGAGGTCAGGTGTTCACATGACACTTTTGAGTGCTACAATAAATTTGTGTGTGTTCTTACCTGATGAGGATGGTAAATTGGTGCAGTTTGCCAGGTAGTCTATTCTGTTGCTTGGAAATAGGGATTACTTCCTGTCCTTTCACCCTGCTGGGCTGCTGAGGGCTATAGGAAACACATACAAAGAAAAGCAGCACAAATTAGAAGCTGCAATCATTAAAGGTTTGGGAATTTTGGATGAAAATAATACTGATATAATTAATTGATTATCAAAATAATTTGATTAATCTTGTGGTCATTTTGATGAATTGACAAATAGTTTCAGCTTTAATGTGTAGAGAAGGAAAAAAGGCAACATTTATACACACAGACACACACATAGACGACTGCAGGCTTACCTTTCAGTTTGTGGGGCTGTATTGGTCCCAGCTGGTTTCCACATGTGATCATCAGTGTCTTGGACCTTTTCTATGAACTGCTCAGCCAGAACTCTGACCCGCTCCAAACACTCAGCCTCTTGCTCTGAACTGCGTCGATCTATGCTGATCAGATCAACTGTACACACAAACCAAAAAAAATGAGTCTTGAAAAAGGTTTATGAACAGCACCGGGTCACATTTGACACCATGGGCATATGTAGGTAAAGGCTGCAGTGCCAAAAACATTTTGGCTGCTTTAAAACCTGCTGAAATTGTCCTTGATCTTACTTTTTTCAAAGTTGCCAATGAGTAGGAGGATGATAACATGCATACATTTTTTTGGTGCTGAAGAGAAGCACCACTTAATGATGTTTTGACATCTTTCTACAGACACACACACACTAACCATAGAAGTCAGAGGGGTTGCAGTATCGTGGGCAGGGGTATCCCAGAGAAGTGAAATAAGGCACCATTTCACGAGCAGCACCACAGTAAACAGCTGAACCTGACGACAGCAAGACGACGAGGTCAAAGAGCTGGAAGATGTCTGATCGAGGCTGGTGAACTGACAGCAGAACTAGACGATTTCCCCGGGCCAGACGGGACAGTGTGATCACCAGGTTGTGGGCTGTGAAGCTGTCCAGACCTGATGTGGGCTCATCCAAGATCAAAATACCTGAAAATGTGAAATGTATTAGTTCAACAGTCCATAAATAGACATCACTCTCTGGTCTGAACTGTCCCCTTCTGTCCTAACTTTGGTGAGCCACGGGGTCATTGTGACGCAGGATGGATCCCGACTGTTATAATAGTGGGCAGATGGGTTAAAATTATATTTCAAAATGGGGATGGTACTGTCTTACTTCTGAGATTTCATATTTGTGTTGTATATTACAGCTCTGTCCTAAAATAGTAATGTTGATGAACTATGTGCTGTCTCACAAATAAATATTCAATAATTTAATCCTATCTAACAAAGAGTTCAAGTGTTAAATGTAAAACGTTCAAACCAAGAAAACAGCAGCTATGAGTTTCCTTGGAAAGATTAAATCTCAAAACTCAAGAGTTTAAGAGGTTGTCTCTGTTTTGTTTTCTCTCACCAGGGTTCCAGAGAAGTTGGACAGCTATACTGACTCTCCTTCTCTCTCCTCCAGAAACACCCCTCACATAGTCGTTTCCCACTCTGGTGTGTGCACACTGTCGCAGCCGCAGCTCCGCGATAACATCATCCACCTGCAAGAGAAGACAGTGGCGACACACTTATAACATCAGTCACATCGCACACAATTGTTGATGATTTATCATTTAGCCACATGAAGATTATATACAAAATATGACATATATTGATGATTTATCATTTAGCCACATGAAAATTATATACAAAATATGACTGCAGTATGTAGTCAGTGTTTGTATAATAAGGTGAACAAGACCTTTTGTTCCTTAGACTAAGTCTAAAGTGAGATGTCCTCATGCTGTCTACTTTCTCTGCTTGTCCTGTTCATTCATTGAACTTAATCTTACCCTCTGGTCCCTCTGAGACTGTGTGAAGTGGGTGGGGAGCCTCAGTTTGGCAACAAAGATGAGAGTCTCACGGACGGTGAGGTGAGGAAGAAGGCGGTCATCTTGGCGGACGTGAGCGATGCTTTTCTTCACCAGCTGGGGTGTGTTGGGCTTCCCGTTAATCAGAATCTGACCGGACAGCACTGTCCCGCCCTCGTCCCGACATGTTATTATGTCCAACAAAGATGTCTTCCCACAGCCTGGGAAAAGATGATTGCATATTTAAAACAACGTTTAAGCACAGAGGGGAAAAAAATTTCACAATAATACAAGTCAAAATGTGTGAATAAGCAAAGCACTGAGCAGTTTCAAGAAGCATGTACTACACATTGTTCCTTTCTATACTGGTGGAACGGAACTAAGTACTATAGTTTTTCTTGAGGTACTTGTATTTTACTCGAGTATTTCCATTTTGAATTGCTTGATATTTTCTTTTACTTGGTACTACCATTCAGAGTGAACTATTATGGTTTTTGCTTGACTATTTATTTGCTAATTACTTTTCAGCACTTTTACATAAAGCCATAAAAATACAGATTTACAACATACTGTTGTTTTATTACCTAACTTGGCTTGTGACCTCCTAAAAAAAAGCAGCGTCTCATTTTCACATATTTGACAAATGCATTCAAATGTATGTTATAGAAAGTTTCTTTGGTCCTACCCCATTAAACATCCCACAACCCCTCAGATTTTTCTTGTGACTTTTACTTACAATGCAGTATTTTTACACTGTGGTACTGGTACTTTTACTTCTCTTCCACCACTGCATGTACTCATTGTAGTCTGAGACTGATTATGTGTTCATGCTTTATGTTTGGGTTTTTCTGTGTGTTTTCTGCCCATATGAACAATGCTGCTCACCTGAGGTCTTTTTCCAAACTTAACAGAAGTAAACCCGGTGGAACAAGCGATCCAAGGATTTATGAACTTGATTAAAAACTGTAAAATTTAATAGTGTGTGTTTGTGTTGTGTGTGTCACCTGAGCTGCCAATGACAGCCAGCATCTGTCCACTGCGGACTCGGAGGCTGAGATTTTTGATGGCCATCTGCTTGTTTCCTTTTACCTCCCATGGCAACTTGAACTCTGACAGCTTCTCATACCAGGGGATCTGAGCCGCAGTGTCCACCTGGAAACACACACAGACACATTACAGGATGAGCACATGCACACATAAAGAGGCTAACAGAGTTCAAAGCTAAAAATATACTGCATATGAGAGCAGGGTGGCCGGCTGTCATTTACCTCGTAGTGCAGGTTGTTGACCTCCAACTCATTGCACCCTCCACTGTAGGTGAAGTAGAGGCTGCTGTCTTCTTCAGACGAGAACAATTCTGCATCTTGATGCTGTTAAAGAGGAGTAAACAGGTCAAAGTTACAGAGACAAGGACACATGGTATCAGGACTTAAGGACAAACTGCAATAAAATCAGAGAAAGTAAGAGCAATAAAACTAATACTTGTCATGACAAGTTCAGATTTACAATAATGGAATGTGTGGAGGAAAGTCAGTGTTACCAGACACTGCATAGGAAACCACAGATTTTAGATGGCAGTTATGCATTAACTATAATACAAGTGACAGGTAGTGGTAAACCAGGGCTCACTTATATTAGATAAGTTCTTACTACAAGGTTTTACTAAAGTCAGTTTCAGGACCCACTGGTTACAAGATAATTACAAAAGTTCACCAAAATATTGTGTTGTGTGTCTAAACAGAGGATGAACATTTAGGTTTGCACAACCTTTTTCACGTTGCATTACAGGACAAACTGGAAAACAAAAATATAAACTGTAATGCAGGGGCCTACAGTTACACATTCGATCTGTTAGAAAATGGACTTAAGTCAATCCTAATACGGATCCATTCAGCTCAACAAAACAACATGCAAAAACTACAATACACATTTTAAATATCCACAGCAAAATTTGTTTCATTGAATCCATATTAAAATACTGTGCTTTTTATAAATTAGAAATACCAAAGTAACTTTGACAAGAAATGTTAAAGCAATTGTTTCCTTTTTCTTGAAATGAGCGTCTGAAATAAATAAAGTAATTTTTTTTTTCAAACTGGAGTCCTATGCTGGAAAATAATATATTTTTGCTTGTTTTATCATATTAAACAAAGCAACAGTAACACATTCCGAAAAAGCTCTAAATCAAACTGGACTCTTCTGCCCCACATCCCCACATTATAATTGATCTGATTTAAGCACAAAACGTTCAGATGATAGAATTAGTCAAGGAGAGGAGTAGTAGCAAAGATGCTGGTGGGGATGGGGACGAAAAGGATCAACAGAAAGTATACATGTGGGACTGACTTAACCAAAGTATATTAGTATATTAGCAGAGGAACCTAAAATCAATGTGTTTAACATGTTTTCATCCTGAGGTTTACAGTATGCAATAGACTGACCTGTGAGAAGGCTTTTGTGTGATTAAAGCTGATGTCTCTGCCTGTGTCCATGATGCCGTTTTTGTGCTACCCCTCCGTTTCTTCTCCTTATTACTGTAGATGCTTTGACTCCAGCCCAGCTGAAGGTCTCCTTTTGTCTCAGCTCACAAGCCTTCTCTGTCAAAGTGTCCTCAAAACTCATGCCATGTCAGTTCTTCATATGCTCTGTCCGGACAGTCATAGCGTTTCTGTTTGCAGTGCACAATTTGAGGACCGAGGTGAAATTGACATTCAGACTTTTTACTCGGCAGGTGTGTTTTGGTCCTCTTTATCCAGATCAAAGTTCTTGTAGATAACGCAGCATGCGCTGTGGTGTTCCTGGTTCCTGAGAAACACCATTGCTCTCACACTGCTGTTCTGAATGGGTACAGAGAAACAACGTCTGGGAGTGTAAGACGATACAACTTTATGAGTGGTGTGACTATGAACAAACAGATCTGAGACGGACGTGAAACAGCTGTTGTTTGGAGTAGTAGACATGAACAGATTTGATTCAATGCAGATGGTAGAGCCTGAGAACAGGACCAAAGGTGGGGAGTCCAAGTTTGTTCAGGAGGTGAAGAGGGATGCATGGAAGGATGGTGGAGAGGAGCGATCAGAGCCCTCCTGTTGTCTCAGTGTCAGCAAGCTCTCCTACAGAGTCAGGTAAATACTGCAGGCTTTTGTCTACCATTTGTCGTGTAAAATAAAACACACTGCTGATTGCTAATACTGTACATATAATGTAGACTACCAGTCAAAAGATTGGACACACCTTCCCATTACATTCATGTGGAAAGTGTCTCCAAACATTTGACTGGAAGTATATTGTCAAAATAAATGATCAGTATTCTCAGTGGGAATCTGTTCTGAGAATACTGATGTGTGTGTATTTCAGTGAGCGTGTGGGTCCATGGTGGGACTTACCCTCCTATAGGAAGCGATGGACTCGACAGATCCTCAATGATGTCTCCTTCCATGTAGACAGTGGGCAAATCATGGGCATACTGGGAAATTCAGGTTTGCAGCTCAGTCTAAAAAGAGCATTTAAACTGAACAAAACAAAACAAAAATCACAGAATTAATAAGTCTGATAATTGTGTGAACATGCACTAAATCATTAAATAGCTTTTAAGTTATAAGATTTTCTAACTGAAATGGCTCTGAAGTTAGTAATTAAATTATTAGACACTGAATATAAGATCCTGTCCAGGGTCTACTGTCACCTGGGATTGGCTCCAGGCCCCCAATGGATGGATGAACAGATGAATACAAGATATTGTTTATCCTTGTCTGAGTTTGAAAGTTGCTGTTTATAATCCTAAATCCAGGCCAGTATGATCACTGGGAAAACCTTTACAATATATTTTTTTTTCATGTATGTAAACATGTATCTGTGTGTACCTTTGCACTAAAAAGGCTCAGGAAAGACCACATTATTGGACGCCATCTCAGGCAGGATTGGAAACTCTGGTACACTGTTGGGTGAAGTCTTCATTAATGGCAGGAAACTGAAAAGAGAGGAGTATCAGGACTGCTTCTCCTATGTGCTGCAGGTAACACACAGAAAAACCCATACATAAAGCATGAACACATAATCAGTTATGGGGGATCCAAAATTAGCTGCAGTGTTTGATCAAATATTGCCAAAACATTAATAGAGACTGAACAGTGGTTTAGTTATAAGCAACTAATCACACACACATTTCCCTTTGCCCTTGTTCTCATCACACACTAACATCAAGTTAAACTTTACCCTAAAGTACCACATGTGAATGGCTGCATACCGTTTTTATATTTTTAAGTTGTCTGTGGTTATACTAACTATGAATACAATGAACAGCAGTTTGCAGAAGCCCCTGAAAGGTTGTCCTGGCCTCTGTCTGAAATTAACTTAAGACCCTTGATAGCCTCCTCATATATCTCTCAATGAGAGGTGCTCAAGTGTATCCAAAGCCTGAATTAAAAACACTGGCTTAAAACTGCCCTTACTTTCTTTCAAATCATCTCTTTTCTCTTGTTGATAGCACCCCCTTCTGCTCTCTAAGCCTCGTCATTAACTTCCCCTGCTAAGCTCTAGATGAGGAAGTGATATGAGCTCCTGATATTAAAGTCATTCAGATGAGAGACTAAGGAGAAGTGGGACTGGGAAGTGCCATGTGTTAATTGAGGCAAGAAGCAGGTTGAGCAGGTTCAAACAATGTGCGTGTGCACAAATGTCTAGAGCAAAGGTATATTACAGCTGCTTTACACGTGCATATGTGAACATAATATACAGTACAGTATTGGATACAGTATGTCATTTCACTAGCAGCAATGTATTTTTCATCATCTTAACTTTTCCTCATTATAACCCCATAGTGATGTTACTCCTGTCTCTTGTGAGTAAGATGAAGATTCTGCTACAAGGCCTATGATAACAATTCGTATGCCCCTATGCATTATTTTTTGGGCTGTCAGTCTGTCCATTCTCCTGTTCCTCTGGTAGTCCACCACAGGCTCATTGGATTTACTGGTACTGATTGTTGTTGCACGATGGGACACAAATGGGACATCCATCTCACTCACTGCATCTCTTACTTATTCCCCCCCCAATTCTCTTTTCTCTCTATCAGAGTGATAACTTGTTGAGTTATCTGACAGTGGAGGAGACTCTGACCTACACAGTCCAGCTGGCCCTGCGGAAACACTCTGCCAAGGCTATCAAGAAGAAGGTGACTTTTGAGAGCCTCTACTTCTCTGTCCGTTGTAATAGTTTTCTTTAGCTAAGCCTGACATGTCTACTTACTAGGTAAAAACAAAGAAGAGACAAAAGGCATGGAGAGGGGATTATGGTTGAACCAGAATTTGTTTCACTTTGTATTAAGATTTTCAGCAACATTAGTGCTAACGGGTATGCCCAACCTAAATTAAGTACACAAAGTTTGTTTTCCCTCAAGAGCATTGTGATATACTGTAGTGTATTTGGCTATTGAAGTCAAATATGGCTGAGTCACAGACAGCCCAGGAAGCACTATGTCCAAAATCAGAATAACTGCAAACACAAGTATTATTTGCTTCATCAGTTCATAGTCCGCTCTCTTACAGCTACTGAGCATATGTATGCAGCCGATGTGTTTACCATATTGGTCCAATTCAAACAAAGCCAAAAGTTCAAAAATTCAGAGTCTCAAATGTCTCTGTTCATGATCTCGGCTTGTGTTTTTGTTAACAGTGATATAAATGTGAAGAGAGCCTTTATGAATCATAACAGCCAGTTTTAGCCTGGTACAAGGCAGGCTACATTTGTTCAATTTGTCAGTTATTTGCCAATCATAATCATGTTTTAAACGGATGGCTTGGCTGAAGACCCACATCAGTTGGAAACATTTCAGAGAGCAACTGTATGAAGAGCGAATCAATTCCAATAATCAGATACTTCATCTATACTAGGCCCTTGACACCTGACCTTTGACCTCTGGTCCTGCACAGGTGTCAGCTGTGATGGCTGAGCTCAGTCTGAGTCATGTGGCCCACAGTGTTATTGGAGGTCGTGTTTTCCCAGGGATCTCTGGGGGTGAGAGGAGGAGGGTCTCCATTGCCAGCCAGCTACTTCAGGACCCGAGTGAGTACCTCTGCAGGTGGGATATACCTGAGGAGAATTACAGGAGTTTTATCTCTGTATCACCAACATCACAGCAAATTTAAATCATAATGATAAGATGAATGGACGCAAAAAGCCATTATCCCTTAGATTCTTTACAGTAAAGTCGACAGTACTCAAATGAGGATATACAGAGTAGATAGAAAAAAGCATTAGAGGTGGGTTTTTTGAGTTTTGAGACAAACGGGACAGGGATAATATACAGTATAAGGGGCTGTGACACAAAATCAGCATTCCTAAAGTTTTGTGCAGTCTGTTTAGTAAATTATTGCATAAAGCACTTATTTCATACATATGTATACTCCTGGAAGCAACAGGACCAGAAGCAAGACTGTGGCACCTTGAGAATAGAAGTTAGTTCACCACAAGACCTGTCTCTCCCCAAAGATTTTTAAAGCCCACAGTGAAAAATAAAGGGATCTAAGTTAGAGAGGAATGAGGATGGGATGGAGGGAGAGACGGAGAAGAGTAATGAAAAGCTGGGTTATCACACTACAAAGGGAATGAACACAGACTCACTTCTGTGTGTGTGTGTGGGTGAGGCCGTGCTCATTCCAGGTGTAGTTTATCAGGTCTACAGTCCTCCTGGGAGGATGAAGGGTCTCAGTCCTCATTCAGGATTAGAATGGCCATGGACACAAACACACACACAAAGTCACACACAGACTTATGAGGAGTTCCCATTCGCTGCCTCTCCAATCAACCAGGAAATGACTTAATCTCACAATTAAACCATCTGCTAATTCCACTCTGCTTTCATAATGCAAAGAGGCAATCTTTTAATTGTCCTAATTAGAGTAATTAACTTTAAAAAAATGAACTCACTTATCTTCACAAGTGAAGTTGGCCCCGCTGAGAGTTCTGCATGTACCACTTAGTACAAAGTACATTTAAAAGTTTATAACTTAAAAGAAGAAAAAAAGTTACTGTCCTGCTTTTCTCTTGCTCTCAATGTTTCCATGTGTGACAAACATGCATGAGGGCGATGACGTACAGGGAATGATGTCATTGCAGGGGTGATCCTACTGGATGAGCCGACCACCGGCCTGGACAGCATGACTGCCAATCAGATTGTGGTGCTGCTAGCAGAGCTGGCCAGGAGAAATCGTATCGTCATAGTAACCATCCACCAACCACGCTCCGAGCTTTTCAGGGTGGGTTTCAAGATGAGATGGAGAAAGAAGAAAGAGTGGTTAACAGACTGAAACTTCCTTTACAGGACAGTCACGTTCTTTCCAATGTCCAGCTTAAAAAACTGAATCTGAAACTTCAGCTTGATACTTGATACTGAAACTGCTTTTGTTTCTACTGTGATTTTAATGGAAAACATGAGTGATATAAATTCAAACTCTTTCTTCTGAGGTAATATGAGACTTCAGTACTTGGAGTTAGTCAAATCAAGAAGGTATCTTCTAAAGTTACCACCTTTTAGGAAAGTAGTTTCCTCTTGGTTTCCACAGACATGGCCTTACTGGGCTGCAGTAGAGGGATAATAACACAAAGTGAAATTTTATAAAAAACACTGACTTTGGAAGTTCGTGTGTCTGTCCCCCAGGTGTTCAGCAGAATAGCTATAATGAGCCGTGGAGAGCTCGTGTTTTGTGGGCAGCCAGAAGAGATGGTGGATTTCTTCAGTCAATGTGGATATGAGTGTCCAGAGTACTGCAACCCCTTTGACATCTATGGTACTATATGCTATGACCCTGAATTATGTACTGTATAGTTATATTGCAGCTACACAGCTACGTATATTGAAACATAAACAAATAGAATGTACATTAAGAGAAGTGCCTTTACAGTACCTAAAAGAACAAAGTCTGTGTAGCATGTTCATTAAAGTATTCAAACCGCTGTGATGTTAAACAGTTGACTTCACCTCAGTGGACACACGCAGCAGTGACAGGGAGGCAGCCACATTTAGTCGCATGCATGAGATCACTTCTACCTATCAGAGATCAACAATCTACCAGAACATGCTGGAGAAACTGGAGCAGAGCCTGCAGCAGGCAGACAAGCCAGCCATCCCCTTTAAAAGCAAAGAATCACCCAGCGGTGCAGCCAAACTCAAAGTTCTTCTCAGGTCAGTGCTGATCAAGTCTACAGTCCCCTGCCGACATCATCTGTAAAGACAACAACTGATATCAATTTTATATTTACACCACGATTTAGATTTTGGACAACCTAAATATACCTACAGTGGGGCAAATAAGTATTTGATACACTGCCGATTTCCCAAGTTTTCCCACTTACAAAGAATGGACAGTTCTGTAATTTTCATCGTAGGTACACCTCAACTGTGAGAGACAGAACCTACAAGAAATTCCAGTAAGTCACATTGTTAGATTTTTAAATAATTTATTTCCATTTTATTGCATGAAATAAGTATTTGATCACCTACCAACCCGCAAGAATTCTGGCTCTCACAGACCTGTTAGTTTGTCTTTAAGAAGCCCTCCTATCCTCCACTCATTGCCTGTATTAATTGCACCTGTTTGAACTCGTTACCTGTATAAAA